CAGTCCTCTTCTTTGGCCAGTAGCTCTAGTTTATGTTTTTATACTTTTTTTTATGTGTGTTTTAAATTTCTGTGTAACCCTTAGCTTAGTTAGGTACACTTCTTCCTGTTCTTTGTTTTATGTTTTCCTAGATGTTTCTTCTAAGGGCTTAGTGTTATGTTGAAAATTTTATTGTTTATTTTTCTTTTAGATCTATTATTTTTTGTTTTATAATCCTTATGGAACTGTCTTTTTGAACTTCAGTTATCTTACTGATTTCTGGCATTTTTTTCTTTAGATCTTAGTAAAAAAAAAATTCATTACTAACGTGTCCTCTCTTTAAGATACTCACTTTTGGTCAGCCTTGGTGCCTCATACCTGTAAGTCTTGCACTCTGGGAGGCCAAGGCAGGAGGATCACTTGAGTTCAGGAGTTCAAGACCAGCCTGAGCAAGACTGAGACCTCGTCTCTACTAAAAATAGAAAAAATTAGTCAGGTGTGATGGTTGCCTGTAGTCCCAGGTTCTGGGGAGGTTGAGGCAGGAGGATCACTTGAGCCCAGGAGTTTTAGGTTGCAATGAGCTATGATGACACCACTACACTCTAGCCAGGGCTACAGAGCAAGACTCTGTCTCTAATAAAAAAAGGTACTTTTTCTTGTAGATGAATATATATAGAGGGCAGTCTCCATAACAACTTTTTGCTTCTATTATTAGATGGTAAATTACAGAATCATAACATTTCTTCCAACTTGCTCTAACAATCTTTTTGTTGATTATCTAGGTAATAGTCATCCCTCACTATCTGCAGGGGACTGGTTCCAGGAACCCTAGGATACCAAAATCCTCAGATGCTCAAGTCCTTTATATAAAATAGCATAGTGTTTACACATAACCTGTGCACATCTTCCCATATATTTTAAATCATGTCTAGATTATTTATAACACCTAATACAATGTAAATGCTATATAAATTTTTGTTATACTGTATTGTTTATTTTTTATTGTTGTATTGTTATTTTTTTCCCTGAATATTTTCAATCCATGGTTGATTGAATCCATGGATGTGGAACCCATGGATACAGAGAGCTGACTGTATTCAGTCAAAAGGCAGTAAATGGCTGGGCGCTATGGCTCATGCCTGGAATCCTAGCACTCTGGGAGGCCGAGGCGGGAGGATCATTTGAACTCAGGAGTTCAATACCAGCCTGAGCAAGGGCGAGACACGTCTCTACTAAATATAGAAATTAGCTGGACAACTAAATTATATAGAAAAAATTAGCTGGGCATGGTGGTGCATGCCTGTAGTCCCAGCTATTTGGGAGGCAGAGCTCCTGGGCTCAACCAGGAGTTTGAGGTTGCTGTGAGCTAGGCTGACGCCATGACACTGTAGCCCAGGGAACAGAGTGAGATTCTGTCTCAAAAAAAAAAAAAAAAAAGTAAATAGACTTTCCTAGAAAAATATTCTTATCTCTTTAAGTATCTGCTCTGTCAGTAATATTTATCCATTACCCTAAGGAGAAATAATTTTGGATAAGAGACATTGGGTACTAGTTTTTTTATTTTTTTTTATTTTTTGAGACAGTCTCACTCTGTTGCCCAGGCTAGAATGAGTGCTGTGGTGTCAGCCTAGCTCACAGCAACCTCAAACTCCTGGGCTCAAGTGATCCTACTGCCTCAGCTTCCCGAGTCACTGGGACTACAGGCATGGGCCACCATGCCTGGCTAATTTTTTCTGTATAATTTTAGCTGGCCAATTAATTTCTTTCTATTTTTAGTAGAGACGGGGTCTCACTCTTGTTCAGGCTGGTTTCGAACTCCTGAACTTGAGCATTCCTCCCGCTTCTGCCTCCCAGAGTGCTAGGATTATAGGTGGGAGCCACCACGCCTGGCCTGGTACTAGCTTTTTTAAAATCACAAGTGTACCCTTTTGGAAAATGTTGGCCAAAGCAGGGATACCCACTTGTTTAAAATAACTAGCATAAGTATTATGACCCTGTTTCCCAACCCTACATTGTTGGACATTAAATTAGTATTTGATATTTGGACTTGCCTGAGAAACTGGGATCTGTGGTTTCACGTTTACTTACTCTACAGATATTATGTAATCCGTCCTGTTCTAGGCATTGTGCTAAGCAGTGGAATAGAGGGGAGCTCATGATCTAGCAGGGAAGACATACATTTCATACATGGTTTTAAGAATAAATTAGAGCCCGGTGCGGTGGCTCACGCCTATAATCCTAACACTCTGGGAGGCCCAGGCGGGCAGATAGCTGGAGGTCAGGAGTTCAAAACCAGCCTGAGCAAGAGCGAGACCCCATCTCTACTATAAATAGAAAGAAATTAATTCAACAACTAATATATATAGAAAAAATTAAGTGGGCATGGTGGTGCATGCCTGTAGTCCCAGCTACTTGGGAGGCTGGGGCAGCAAGATTGCTTTAGCCCAGGAGTTTGAGGTTGCTGTGAGCTAGGCTGACGCCATGGCACTGTAGCCCAGGGAACAGAGTGAGACTCTGTCTCAAAAAAAAAAAAAAAAAAAAAAGTGATGTAACCATTTAAGTGGTTACTTGAAAAAGCAAACAACATTAAGAAAAATAAGTGGTTACTTCATACCAGCATGATGGTAGAGCAAAACTGGATTATGAAATTGGTTTGGCAATATATTATTTTTAGATTGTCGTATAAAAACATTTACAAGTTATCATAGGAACCTCAGATTCTTGATATCTCCCCACATTTATAGGTTAGGCAGACTTCACTTTGAAAAACTATGGGTAGTTTTTCCTCTCCCACCAGGAGATCTAGTGATGAATCTCAAATGTGCAGTGTTGTTGTATTTTAAAGTTATCTAGTATTTCATAGTATGTTTGCCTGGAGTAGGGAAAGAGTACCAAAAGAGAATATCTACTTTCTTTCTTCCCCTCAAGTTTTCCTCAGAGATTCCCCAATTAGAGATACCATTTGAGTTAACAGGTCTCTTTTGGGATACCTGATTCTTAACCAGTCTTTCACATTTTAGGATCATATGTTTTAATGCTAAATCAACACAAATTTTATTTCTGCCTCAGAAAATGGAAATTTTGAAGAGGAAACCTTAGACCCTTGAGACGATGGCATTCTTGAGTGAGGTGGGAGATTGACAGGGCAGCTTGAAGGAAAGAGGTTCTTGGGGTCAGGGAAGGAGGAGGAAGGTGTTAAAGAAACTGTTACTTTTCACTTTTTCCTAGGATATTGAATGCTCTTGCTTGACAGTGCCTCAATTGTGGGTTTCAGAAAGACTTCAGAAATCTGTTAAGTTTAGCCTACACGTTTTCCAATCCAGACTATTCCAGCACAGTTTCTGCTCATGTTGTAGGATATCCCCTCAGGAAAAGCAAAATGAAGAGAAAGATGATCCTTCCTAAGTGAAAAGTAGGTCAGATCAGACCTGTTGGATAAATCTCTTCCTGTTGGCTCCTTCCTTTCAATCTCCTTATTCTTCTTCATAATGTTTTACATTAAATCACCTAGCACAAAGTAGGTTCTCAGACTCGCTAATTCCTATGAGAGTGAGGGAAAGCAGTTAGCCAAAACTTTGACCACAATTTCTGCTCTCCTCCCTACTTTTGTCTCTTTTCTCTCTTTAAACAACTCTTCCTTTTTACCAGTATGTTAGCAGAAAAGAAGGAACAGCTGGTTGAGGGGCAGAGAAGGAGAAAAGTGATTTTTGATGTTTGATTGGGAGAAATATTGTCCATCGACTTGGTTCAGCAAGTGCCTGACACATAATGGATATTCGGTAATTTTTTTTTTCACTTCATAGCTTAAATGTCTTGGAAAAACAAAAATTGAATGCACAGGATCAAGGGACTAAAGCTCAGGTAATACTGTCGTGTCAATTTTTCTCATTTTCCCGTTTTATCAAAACATCTTTCATCTTTTCATCAGGCAATTCAGTGGCAACTCCTGTCCTCTTCCCAACTCCGGAATGAGTCTTTCGGTCTCCTCCCTATTTTCCTAGTGTTCTTCGGTCGTGGATATTGCAAACTCGACCGCCTGTCTCTCGAGGTCTTTGCTTCAAGGTTTCCCGACGCTCTGGTGCTATCCAAGCCCACAGCACTTTAGGGAGAAAGACCTCGGATTCATTGAGGGGCTTGTGAAGCCTGGGCGTCTGCAGAGCCCAGTGTGGGTGGGGCTGGGCGCTGCAGGGGCGGGGCCGGCGAGAAGCCCAAGGGAACGGGTGGAAGGCACTGTTGAGAAAGGCCCGCCGGGCATTGGTGTCTCAGTTTTCACGAAGGCTTCGCGTGCAAGCCTGAGGAAATTAGGTGCCTCCCTCCTGCCTCGCCTTTCTTGATTCTGGAAGCTTCAGTAGGCTTTTCTGGGTTGCTGCGACCCGGAAAGGCGCAGCTCCAGCTCCGCGGATGGGTCCCAAAGGTGGTCTTGCCGCTTCTCCAGGGCCGTTTGGACGCCTGTTGTTGGGGGAGGGGCAAGGGAGGTGCCGCTCGCGCCTTTTGCGCCTGCGCGGCGGGCTGCGAGCGGGTAGGAGCGCGTGCGCGGTGACGTGGACGTGTGGTGCGCGCGCAGGCTCTTCAGCTGGAGCGGACACACGGTGTGCGAACCCGACAGAATAACCCGCCCCCAGCGCGATGTGAAGGACTACGGGTGAGGCCAGCCACGCCTCGCACGGTAACTCTCGGGTCTGGGTGGAGGGCGTAGGTTTGTTGTGGCCCGATTGAAGTTTTTCGAGAGTTTGAAGCTCTTGTGTATTTGAACGGCGTGAGAAGCGTTCCGCTGAGAGATCTTCGCACGCCCTGGCCAGGCCCGGCCTTGCGCGGGGCCGCCTTGGCGCGCGTCTATAGTCCGCTGGGCGAGGCTGCGCATGTCACCTCGCGCGCGTCCCCGGCCTCACTTCCGCGTCGCGCAGCTAACTAACTGGGAACATCGACGCCAGAGAGAGCGGCCACGAGGCGGGCGGGGTGAGAAGCGCCCATGGCGCGGCCCTGCCCTCGCGTGCGTGGGGTGCCGATCCGCATGGTATGATCCGCGTGACGACTTCCAGCCCAGCGCCAGGCTCTAGGTCGAGAGCCATACTTAATCGCTTTGCAGTTTAGAGCTCAGGTCTTGGTTTCCAAAACTCCGAGGGAAACGGTGCCGGCGTCGCTTTTCTAAGAAGCTCAGTGCAGCGTTTTGACACCTGTGCAAACGTCTCTTCCAGCATGTAATTTCCGGTCAAATTATTTGAGGCAGGACTGTGAGTTTAAGAAAGGGTGGCGAGTAAGTGAGCTGTACAGGAGTGGGAACTTAGTAAACAAAGGACCGCTGGTTTATAAGTGCAGAAATGAGGGCAGGGAAGCACAGGTAGGAAGAGCAGGTGTTATTTTTTTTTTTTTTTTCATTCTGTGAACTAGCTGTCTTTGGCTAGTTCTCTGTTCACGGGGTTCCTGTTTCTGTTAAACAGTCAAGTGGGTCTCTATCCTCAGTGGAAGGTGTCTGGAACATTAATAGACCTTTCCAAGCTCCAGTAACTACAGTTGAGAAATCTATGTGTGCAAAGAGTGTGGAGAAGTTAGGGATCATTGTGGTAGTGTCTTTTTCTGAAGATTTTTGCCTTGCCTTTCGAACCCTGGGAAAGCCTCCCAAGGGTTCGAAAGGCAGGGTGGAAGCAGGGAGGGGTGAAGATGGTCTGAAAGGAGGGGTTACTGATGGCAGACCAATGTGAGAAACCAAAGTGCAATCCTTTTGAGGGGAGACCACTTTCCCAGGGCTCGCGTCGCCAGAGCAGACACGTGGATCATGAGAAGTCTCGAGCCCACCCGCGCGCTGCCGGTGAGTGTTGTAGAAGAGCTCGCTAGGCTTATGCGGCTACGTTCCTGGTAAACTCCGTTTGCTCAGTCCCTTGTTTTTGGGCACGACGCCGCGGGTAGGCTGCAGGGACTGTGCCTGGGGGCGGTGTGACGGCTGCTGGGAAGGGGGTTGGCCTGGGAGGGCCGAGTGGCTGGTTCTGTGGTCTCCACGGTAACAGAATGCGGATAGGTCCCGCCGAGCTATTGCAGGGTTCCGGCCCGCAGCACGTGATCTGTCCGGATTCCTCTTCCCCGGAAGAGCTTTCCTAGTGGCGTTTTTTCACATGGTTCTTGGCCAGCTGGCCTCTGCAGTTGTGAAGCTGCGATTGTGGGCCTTTCATAGTCGACGGCGACTGCTCCTGTCTGGGAAAGAGGGGAAGCCCTGTTACTTCTAAGGGTATTGGATCAGCGTTACTGCTTCTTGCCACCTAGGATTGTTTCCAGCGTTTGTGTGGGTTGGGTCCACTTAACAGAAAACACAAGCTAAAGACTCGAGGAAATTCAGTGCCGTGGGGACCTCAGCATACTTACTCCAAGTTTGACTTTTATCCATTTCTGCCGTAGAAGTTATTTTTCAAATTTTGCTTACACAACTGCTAGGGACCTGAGAGCTTTGCTACCCCTGAGTTGTAGTTAAGTGCCCATTCCTAGAAAATGCTTCTGAAGCCAGCAGTAACAAATGGTATTTGGGGAGAGAAAGAAGTAGTACTTAGACAAGTGTACTTCTGTGCCTTAAAACCTATTACTTCAGATAATATTTTGAAATTTACCCTGTGACAAAATGAGTTCATATTAATAAATAGCAAGTACCATTTAGTTAGTAAAATCAAGAAAGTGAAATTAAGAAAGTAATTGGCTATTTTACTGTATTTGCCACTTTTTTGGGGTCATTTTCTGATTATATTTATATCCACATTGTATTTTTGAGAAATTTAAAATTTCTGGGCCCAGTGTATTGATAAACACTGAAATGTGAATGAATCCATTCTCTTAAAATTTGAGTTTCAAAAATGTAATTTAACTTAACCATATCCTTCTAGTGAAGGATTATATTAAGGAACAAACTAACATTTTGGTGCCTGTCATACAGTAATGTATTTATCTTATGAAAGGTTGTTGTTTTTATTTTTTTCTCTGGATTGTGGTTATTTTTAACAACAGGGAAAACATTCAGAATGTGTTGACCAGTATTTGAGTATTTGTGTATGTATATATTTTTTGAGACAAGGTCTCCTCTTGGTTGCTGGAGCCTAGAGTGCAGTGGTGTTATCATAACTCAATGCAACTTCAAACTCCTGGTCCACCTACCTCAGCCACCCAAGTAGCTGAGACTACAGGCATGTGCCACCCTGAGAAGTTAATTTTTTTTGAGGATGGGGTCTTGGTATATTGTTCAATCTGATCTCAAACTCCTGGCCTGAAGCAGTGCTCCAGCCTCAGCCTCCTAAAGTGCTAGGATTACAGGCCTGAACCACCACACCGGGCCTGAATATTTGTATTTTTAAACTAATGATACAGATTTGGAATTTTGATTTGGTGCAAATTTATTTGATACAGTACATAAATCATTAAATTAGTAAATTACCTAGTAAATTAACCAGTGTATTTTGTGAATGGTTATTGGTTTGGTAAGTAAACATTTCCCAAAGAGATCACTGGTGAAAAGACATTTAGAATAGGGACTCTGGGCCGGGCGTGGTGGCTCACGCTTCTAATCCTAGCACTCTGGGAGGCCGAGGCGGGCAGATTGCTCAAGGTCAGGAGTTCAAAACCAGCCTGAGTGAGACCCTGTCTCTACTATAAAAATAGAAAGAAATTAATTGGCCAACTAATATATATATATATATAAAATTAGCCGGGCATGGTGGCGCATGCCTGTAGTCCCAGCTACTCGGGAGGCTGAGGCAGTAGGATTGCTTGAGCCCAGGAGTTTGAGGTTGCTGTGAGCTAGGCTGACGCCACGGCACTCACTCTAGCCTGGGCAACAAGCGAGACTCTGTCTCAAAAACTAAAAAAAAAAAGAATAGGGACTCTGAAATAGTAACAATTTATGGAGCTACCACATCATTTAGCTGAAAATATTCTCTGTGAAAGCTTATGTGTGCTGTGTGTGTGTGTGTGTGTGTGTGTCTTCTGATGTGACATTTCAGAATGCTACTGAGTATTTTCCCATGCACAGTAAAACTTATTTTCTTGGCTCTTTATTATAGTTACTTTATATAAGTGCTTGATGCTGAAAAGCTGAACTGAATTTTTTTTATTATTTCTGCATATTATGAATTGAAATTTTTTGAATGTTAAGGTATATTTGTGTACCAGAACTGGTTTTCATTAAAGTATTTATTGCATCAAATAGAGTATTTTTAGAATCTGACTGGAAAGAGATTTATTTCTTCATGACTAGCCTAACCCTTTCTAAAGTACATTTGAGTTTTGCAGTTTGCTTAATGTTGTCTAAGATTTTTCAAGTGGTCTTTGTGTGTCTGAAATAGCTGACTGGCCTGAATTGACTGCTCTTTGATTAGAACCTTTATACAGTAGCCCCAAAAAGCATAGGCATATGCTTATAGTGGATTGGAATCTGTGCTTAGATTGATGTGGAATAAGAATTGAATTTTTATTCTTAAACCAGTAGCTATCATGGCTCAAGATGGAGAAGGTTTTGGTCATAAATTAAGTCTTTGATTTTATGCATTATCATCAACAAATGAATTCACTTGATTGGTGGAGTTTTTTTTAATTTTTAATTTTAATTTTAATTTTTTTTTTGAGACAGAGTCTCGCTTTGTCGCCCAGGCTAGAGTGAGTGCCATGGTGTCAGCCTAGCTCACAGCAACCTCAAACTCCTGGGCTCAAACAATCCTTCTGCCTCAGCCTCCATAGTAGCTGGGACTACAGGCGTGTCCCAGCTAATTTTTTCTATATATATTAGTTGGCCAATTAATTTCTTCCTATTTATAGTAGAGACCGGGTCTTGCTCTTGCTCCGGCTGGTTTCAAACTCCTGACCTTGAGCAGTCTGCCTGCCTCAGCCTTCCAGAGTGCTAGGATTACAGGCGTGAGCCACCTTGCCTGGCCAGAAACCAAGATTTTAATATAGAAGATAATGTTTAAGAAATTCTCAACTGTTTTGTGTATTTTATAGGTTTGGGATAACTAAAATTTTTTTTAATGTACTACTTCGCCTTCTTAGTCATATTTGAATGTATTACAGAATGTTTTGCATACTTCCTCACAAAAATAGTTGGTTTAAGGCTGGGCCTGGTGGCTCACGCCTGTAATCCTAGCTCTCTGGGAGGCCGAGGCAGGCGGATTGCTCAAGGTCAAGAGTTCGAAACTAGCCTGAACAAGAGCAAGACCCCATCTCTACTATAAATTGAAAGAAATTAATTGGCCAACTAATATATATGTAGAAAAAATTAGCCAGGCATGGTGGTGCATGCCTGTAGTCCCAGCTACTCAGGAGGCTGAGGCAGGAGGATTGCTTGAGCCAGGAGTTTGAGGTTGCTGTGAGCTAGGCTGACACCATGGCACTCACTCTAGCCTAGGCAACAAAGCAAGACTATCTCAAAAAAAAAAAAAAAGTTGGTTTGTAAGAAAACTTTAAACTTTATGGGTAAATAAATACAAGATGAGTTTGCAGTGTTTGAGTTATACACAGTTGTAGAGGTATTAGTTTTTGTGAGTTCTCTAAGTTTTAGTAGTTTACAAAGTCACCTTATTTGTGATTTCTGGTCTAATTTTGTTCTGTCAATTTCTGATAGGGTGGTTGGGCAGCAACAGTATTACCTAAGTGTGTTCGTTTTAGAAAACCAGTCAACTTTATAGGTAAAAGCCTGAGGCAGCTTTGAAAAGAATCACCCTAAATTTTATCTGTCTCTTAAAAATAAAGTCCAGGTCGGGCTCGGTGGCTCATGCCTGTAATCCTAGCACTCTGGGAGGCCAAGGTGGGCAGATTGCTCGAGGTCAGGAGTTCGAAATCAGCCTGAGCAAGAGCGAGACCCTGTCTCCACTATAAATAGGAAGAAATTAATTGGCCAACTAATATATATAGAAAAAATTAGCTGGGCATGGTGGCGCATGCCTGTAGTCCCAGCTACTGGGGAGGCTGAGGCAGTAGGATTGCATGAGCCCAGGAGTTTGAGGTTGCTGTGAGCTACGCTGATGCCAAGGCATTCACTCTAGCCTGGGCAACAAAGTGAGACTCTGTCTCAAAAAAAAAAAAAAAAGTCCAAATCAGAAGAGGGATTCGCCCCTACCTCCAACACCTTTCCTGCATATTAGTGCTTTATTGTTAGGAAGTGGGTTTCTATTTTTATCTCTAGTCATAATAGGAAACAATAGCCAACCCATTTTAAGTCTTTATTTTTTATTTTATTTTTGAGACAGAGTCTTATTCTGTAGCCTGGGCTACAGTACCATGGCATCAGCCTAGCTTACAGCAACCTCAAACTCCCTGGCTCAGGGGATCTTCCTGCCTCAACCTCCCCAGTAGCTGGCACTACAGGCGCATACCACCACACCCAGCTAATTTTTTCTATTTTTAGTAAAAAAAGGGTCTCGCTCTTGCTCAGTCTGGTCTCGAACTCCTGACCTCAAGCGAGCCTCCTGCCTCAGCCTCTCAGAGTGCTAGAATAATAGGTGTGAGCCATCATGCATGGACAAATATTGATTTTTTTAAATGTTTATTATCCTCAGGCTAACAAATAATTGGAGCTTTGTAGCATTTTTGTTGTTGTTATATCCTAGGAAAACCTTGGCCACACAAGATTGTATGGCCAGTTTTGTAAGAAGAGGTAAAATTCAGATCAAGTGCTTTAGTTGCTCATCAGTAGCTCTGATGACAGGTAAAATTAGCTGTTTTAATTTTAATGAAGATGAGTAAATGGCTGAATTTGATTAAATGCTGACCCACTTCTACAGGATATAGCGTCTTCCTTTTTGTATAAAAACTAGGGGTGATAGCTTTAATTTAGCAGAGCAGTTCAATTGAATTTAACAGTCTGAGATTTCTTTATAACTTTTTGTTGGGATATAAATTATATAACATAAAATTCATCATTTTAAGGTATATACCAAAAAGAAACCCCATACTCATTAAGTTAGTCCCAGTTATCTTAGCTATTCCCCTGGAAACCACTAATCTACTTTCTGTCTCTATATGTTTGCCTATTAGACATTTCTTTTTTAAAAAAGTTTTTTAAATTAAAAAAAATTTAAATTGTATGTACATAATAGTTATATATCTTTATAGGGTACCTGTGATGTTTTGATATAGGCATACAATGTGAATTAATCAAATCAGAGTAATTGGGGTATACATCACCTCAGGCATTTATCATTTGTATTAGGAACATTCCAATTCTACTCTTTTAGTTATTTTAAAGCATATCCTAATTCATTGTTGATTATAGTCACTTTGTTGTGCTATCACATATTGTTTATTCTAACTATATTTTTGTACTCAGATGTTTCATATAAATGGAATCATGTGATATATGTTGATTTTTTTTCTTTATGCCTTTTAAGAATTAACTAATTTTTCATTTATTTTTTGAAGGTTGTATGTTCACAAGACAAAAAATTTAGAAAGTATCAAAGGGTGTCTGTTTTCCAGGTTACCTAGTTTTCCTTGGGTATAACCAGTGCTAACAGTTCATTTCCATCTTTCCAGAGATAAGTCTATGTCAAGCAAATATACCAGTTTTTTTCTTTCTTTGGCGTTTTCTTTTTCTTTTTTTTTTTCTAGCTTTTAAAAAGAAGGTGACATAATGTACAATTCTTCTGAACATTTTGCCCTTAATATATCCTGTAGATACTTTTTATATGCATCCAGTTTATTCAGGCTCTTTTATGCCTGCATTATATTTCACTCTGGATGTACCATTATTGTTTAATGGATTTCTACTGATGCACTCCCCAGTGCATGCACCCCTACTCCTGAAGTCTGTTGCTGTTACAAATGGTAATGCAGGGGATAATCTGGTATAGGTCAGTTATCACAGGTATGTGTTTTTAAGATAAAGTCCTGGAAGAACTGCTGTGTCATGGGATATACGCATTTGTACTTTTGATATTTTCAAGTTGCCCTCTATCATAGAAATTCTGTCATTTTATATTCCCATTGACTGGTTAGGTGAGAATGCTGGTTGACCTACACCCTTTCTAACACCTCTACCAAGCTTTGATTATCACTAGTCCGATAAGTGAAAAACAATATCTCAGGATGATTTTAATTGCATTTCTCAAGGAGGGGAGCTGGAAGTGGGTAAGGGGTGAAAAATTACTTAAGGGGTACAATGTACACTACTTGGGTGATGGATACAACAAAAGCCCAGACGCCACCACTGTACAATTATGTATATGTAACAGAATTCAACTGGTAACTCCCTAAATCTATTAAAATAAAAAAAAAATTTCATTTATTCTGAAACTCTGTATATTTTTATAGCCATTTCTGCTTCCTACCATTTGTACATTTTTCTATTTGGTATTTGGTTGATTTGTAGAATCCTTTTAATATTAGGGAAAAGAGTTCTTTATAAGTTACAATTAATTTTTCTTGGTTTGTCATTTGATTTTTAATTTTGCTTAAATTTTTTTTGCCAGATTTTTAAAAATCACATAATGTTTATCAAAAATTTTTTGTCATATTGGTTGTAGGTTTCATGTCTTTTGTTTTTTTTTTTGTTTGTTTCTTTTTTGAGACAGAGTCTTGCTCTGTTGCCTGGACTAGAGTGCCATGGCTTTAGTCTAGCTTACAGCAACCTCAAACTCCTGGGCGCAAGCAATCCTGCCTCAGCCTCCCGAGTAGCTAGGACTACAGGCATGTACCACCATGCCTGGCTAATTTTTTCTATATATTTTTAGTTGTTCAGCTAATGGGTCTCACTCTTGCTCAGGCTGGTCTTGAACTCCTGACTTTGAGCAATCCCCTGCCAAAGTGCTAGGATTACAGGCATGAGCCACCGTGCCTGGCCTAGGTTTTATGTCTTATCAAAAAGCTTTTTTCAGGATTTCTTTAAAAATTAAAAAAATTAAATATTAGATCCATCTGGAATTTTGTCAATATATTAAATAAGTGATTTTTAAAAAAATCACTGGTACATTCCAGTGATTTGTCATGGCTTCTTTAAATGTATGTACTAGCAAATTAAGATAGCTTTTACTTAGTTATGAAACCATGTCAGTACCATGTAAAGAGCTAATTCTGTATGTGAGCTCTTTGGAACAAAAAGGGAAATTTCTTTCCTTTCCTTCCCCTTCCCCCTTTCCCCTTTGCCCCCATTCCCTTCCTTCTTTCCTTTCTTCCCTTCTCCTTCTCCTTCCCCTCCCCCTTCCCTCCCCCTTCCCCTCCCCTCCTCCCCCTTCCTCCCCCTTCCCCCTTTCCCCCTATCTCTTCATCACTGGATAACTTGCTGTGTCAAGGAATCTTCTGGCAAATTAATCATAAAGTGTTGGGATCCTTTTAAAATGCATAACCTTTCAATTTATTTCCTTAAGTTGGTATACTTTGAAATAGTTATTCTGAAGTGAATATATACTTTTGTTTCATTTTGTGTGAGATTATAGTATTTATAGTGAATTACTGGAGGCCTAAGAGTAATTTAAATAAATATATTAAACTGGACTTTTAGAAAATGCTCAGATATTCCAAAATCAATATTCTTATAGTGATTGAAAGAAGAGCAGAAGCTGGATATGGTGGCTCATGCCTGTAATCCTAGCACTTTGGGAGGCTGAGACAGGACAATTGCTTGAGCCCAGGAGTTTGAGACCCACCTGAGCAAGAGCGAGACCCTATCTCTACAAAACATAGAATTAGCCCTGCATGGTAATGTGCACCTGTAGTCCCAGCTATGTGGGAGGGTGAAGTAGGGTTGCTTGAGCCTAGGAATTACTGCTGTGATAACGCCATTACACTGTAGCCTGGGCGACAGTGCAAAACACTGTCTCAAGAAAGGAAAGAAGGAAGGAGGGAGGGAGGGAGGAAGGAAAATCTGAGACAAATTTAAGAATATTTTCAGGGATGATGTAATAATTTTTGTATTTTTGTTTGCAAAATATTCACTTGATTTTTTTTGTTTAGTTTTTGTTTTTGTTTTTTCAGAATGGGAAGGCCATTGTGACTATGTGGTGACTACAGTTATCTTACTGCTGAATTCCCCACTGGAATCATGGAGGAGAAACAGATTATATTGGCTAATCAAGATGGTGGGACAGTGGCAGGAGCAGCACCCACCTTCTTTGTTATCTTAAAACAGCCAGGAAATGGCAAAACTGATCAAGGAATTTTGGTTACTAATCGTGATGCCTGTGCTTTGGCAAGTAGTGTGTCATCACCAGGAAAATCTAAAGGGAAGATTTGCCTTCCAGCTGATTGTACTCTGGGAGGAATCACTGTCACCCTCGATAACAATAGTATGTGGAATGAGTTCTATCATCGAAGCACAGAGATGATTCTGACCAAGCAAGGAAGACGTATGTTTCCTTACTGTCGTTATTGGATAACAGGTTTAGATTCCAATTTGAAGTATATCCTTGTGATGGATATATCTCCTGTGGATAACCATCGTTACAAGTGGAATGGTCGTTGGTGGGAACCCAGTGGGAAGGCTGAGCCTCATGTTTTGGGGAGGGTTTTTATTCATCCAGAATCTCCTTCTACTGGTCATTATTGGATGCATCAACCAGTATCTTTCTATAAACTCAAACTTACCAACAATACACTGGACCAAGAAGGGCATATCATCTTGCACTCTATGCATCGCTACTTGCCAAGACTTCATTTGGTGCCTGCAGAAAAGGCTACAGAAGTGATACAGTTAAATGGCCCTGGTGTCCACACTTTCACCTTCCCACAGACTGAATTCTTTGCAGTAACAGCTTATCAGAATATTCAGATTACCCAGTTGAAAATAGATTACAATCCATTTGCAAAAGGCTTTCGGGATGATGGGCTGAATAGTAAGCCCCAGAGAGATGGAAAACAAAAGAATAGCTCTGATCAAGAAGGGAATAGTGTTCCCAGTTCTCCTGGTCATCGAGTCCGCCTTATAGACGGTGAGGGGTTAGAGATACAGCCAGGTGATTTGGATCCTGTATCAAGGGGTCATGAAACATTTGGCAAGGGTTTGGAGAAGACTTCTCTTAATATAAAACGAGACTTTCTTGGTTTCATGGATAATGATTCAGCACTTGAAGTTCCTCAATTGAAGCAAGAGGTTTCTGAAAGGTAGGTAATAGTTACATGTTCTGAGAGATAAAAGGAAGATTGAGAGGGGCCAGGTTTTGGATTTAACACATTGGTTCTGTGAAATATGATAGATATGGATAAACATAAGCTGCTATAAAATACGTCACAACTACTTTTACATTCTGTGAAGTGACATCATTTTTCTGTAATGGATATCAATTGGGTTCAGGATCCATAATTGTAGGCAAGTTGGATAACTTATCAGAATGGGAATCTTCTATTCATTTATATTTAAAATGTTCCTGGGATCTGTGGGGGATTGGTTCTAGGATCATCTTATATTTCAGGGATTTAAGAGAAAATGGAAAATGAATAAATAAAATTATATAAATATATAAGTTTTTTAAACCCTTAAATTGGAGATTGGCAAATTTTTTTTACTTTCTTTTTTGCTAATGTACCAGTGGATTGTTTTTTTTTTTTTTTTTTTTGTACCAGTGGATTCTTAATTGGTGAATGCATTGATCTTTATTCAGGCTTTGTTTGCTCCATTTGCTATTGTTTGACCATTTTCTCCTACTTTAAACTCTTGTTTTTTCTTCCTTGGCTTCTATCATACCATTCACATGATTCTCCTAACTCTTGATTTTTCCTTTCAGTCATCCTCACTGATTCCTTGTAATATATTCAGCTATTTATTAAATAATGGTTATATCTTGTAGTCTTATCTATGACTTTGACCTCTTCTCCTACGTAACATTGATTATTTTTAAATCTAATAATATCTTTAGCTCGTATTTGTCTGTTTTCTTAGTTCCAGACCTCTAGGTCAAAATAAAACTCCCAGAATTTTACCTACAATGTTCATTGTTGTAGCTAACTCCAGCTGAATTTTTTTTAAACCTTAAAACCTGCCTTTCTTTTGTATTAACTTATCATAGTCATTCAAAGTAGAAACCTCTACATTATTTTTGCCTCCCTCCACAAACTATTCTCCTGTTAAATCATTCTCCTTTTATGGACATTTGGATCATTTTATAGTTTTTTACTGTTATGAATAAAGCTACTCTGAACATTCTTGTACTTCTTTCTATGGACATATGCACTAATTTCTCTTTGTTATACATCTAGGAGTAGAATTACTGAGTCATATAGTAGGCATACTTTTAATTTTAGAAGATACTGCCAGAATTTTTCACAAGGATTATACCATTTTACACTAACACCAACAGTGTATGAGAGTTCCTATTAGCTGTTCTTGTCTTACTATCTTTTGAGGCAGCTAATTACTTTAATGAATTACTGCTTATTTCCTGTAAGTTGAAATTTATATCTTTGCCCTCCCTTTTTTGGTATCTTTACTCTCTTCTTTTTAAAAAAAGTTGTAGTTGCAGAGGGTGGAATTAATTCATACCCTCTTTTACTGCCTGTCCTTCAAACATTTGGAAAAAAATTATAACACTTGAAGATTTCTGTTCTCCTTTATTTAGCCATTCCACCAAATAGGACTGAACACCTTCTAGTTTCAGGTACCTTTCTAGGCACCATACAAAACAAATTCCTGCATCTTGGATCTTACATTCTATATAATTCCATCCTAAAGATTCACAGATCATTTAGCTTTCCATGTGTGGCATAGTTTTCCCATATTTTTCCATTCAGTTGGTTGATTACACACTGCCATGGTTGCACCTAGGATTTCTGGAGCATGTATTTTTCCTCCAAGGAAGCACTTGACAACACAAGTAAGTGAGAATGACATTATTTATAGAGAGAAGCACTCTGGCTTAACAGGAAAAAAAAAGAATTAATTTACAAGTGGTCAAAATTAGACATATATGAATAGTTTTGCAAAAATAGGTTTTCTTCAGTGTAGAATCCTGCTTTCTCAACATTGTACATCCTATGTCAGGCATTTTTAAAGGGTCACATTGGTGTCCATAAGATGGATTTAGTCCTTTGTTGATGGACTTTGAGATTGATTGTTTCAGTTTTTTAGCTATTAGAAATAATGCTTTAGTGAAATTCCCTATGTACATTTTCTTATACACTTTGCAAATATAGTGATCAAATCTTAGGAATGGAATTGCCTAGGTCAAAGGGTACACGGATTTTAAGTTTTGATTAATTGGTAAATTATATACTAAAAGGTTACAGCTATTTATATCCCTATCCATAGTGTATGAGTCTACTATTGTAATTTTTGTACCATCTTTGCTGCTGGTATTGTAGTCCAAAACACCAGTCCTACTGCATGACATGTAACTGGTTTGCAAGCTGCTTTTCTTTTTTCCCTATAGCCCATGAATGATCTTTGAAAATTGTGAATCAAATTATGTCACTCCCCTCTTAACAATTCTTGTGGCTTCCCATTGCACTTAAAGGACACTTGCTGATCTCTTTGGCCTTGTCTTTTACCCATTTATCTGTTCATGGACACGGGTAGCTTCTTTTTTTCTGACACAGTCTCACTGTGTTGCCCTGGCTAGAGTGCCGAGGCTTCAGCCTAGCTCACAGCAACCTCACACTCCTGGGCTCAAGCGATCCTTCTGCCTTAGCCTCCCGAGTAGCTGAAACTACAGGCATGTGCCATCATGCCCAGCTAATTGTTTTCTATTTTTAGTTGTTTGGCTAATTTCTTTCTATTTATAGCAGAGACGGGGTCTGGCTCTTGCTCAGGCTGGTCTCGAACTCCTGAGCTCAAGCAATCCTCCTGCCGCAGCCTCCCAGAGTGCTAGGATTACAGGCGTGAACCACTGCGCCTGGCCAAATAAGTATCCATTTTTTATGCTGTGTTGCAAATATTCTATATTGCTGAGCCAAATAGTATACTGTGAATACATTTTCTTTTATAACTGTTTTGTGGTAATTATTGCTTTTTAAAAGTATTCATAGTTTTTTGTATACTGGTGCTAATTCTCCCCAAATTCTTCAGTAAAAGCTTTCAGTTTATTCATACACACACACACAATATAAACATTCATCTATTAAAAGTAAATTTATTTTTTCTTGTCTAGATACTTCCTTTGGGAGTCTTTTATCGTCCTTTGCCAATATGAACTGATTATTCTTTAGTCCTCTACCAACTCCCATTTTGGGATTTCCCTTTGCTGTTGTCCTGCTAATTTCACATTTACTCTTCTCATGTAGGTTTTCCTGTTTCCTGCACTGAAAGCTGTCTTTCTTGGTTTGTGGTGGTGTGTGTGAAGTTCATCTTTCAGTGATTTCCTTAGTAAATATCTGTGGAGCATAGAATTTTAAACTGTTGAATAAAACTACTTATTATAAAAAATAGTAGTTTCCTGCTTCACCTCTTTCCACTCCTAATTTTCTTCTTATATGTTGGTAAATGGCTTTATTCTACCCCTCACACTTTATAAAATTACTTGGTTGGGCATTGAGTTGTATGCTAAAAATGTGTTGTCTTCCAGTTTGCTGTTAAGAAGTTGTTTTTTTTTTTTTTTTTTTGAGACAGAGTCTCACTCTGTTGTCCAGGCTAGAGTGCCGTAGTATCAGCCTAATTCACAGCAACCTCAAATTCCTGGGCTCAAGCTATCCTTCTGTCTCAGCCTCCGAAGTAGCTGGGACTACAGGCATGCGCCACCATGCCCGGCTAATTTTTCTATATATTTTTAATTAGCTAATTAATTTCTATTTTTAGTAGAGATGGGGTCTCACTCTTGCTCAGGCTGGTCTTGAATTCCTGACCTTGAGCCATTCTCCCACCTCAGCCTCTCAGAGTGCTAGGATTACAGGGGTGAGCCACCATGCCCAGCCTATTAAGAAGTTTAATGCCATTTTTTTCCTGGTCATTTGTATGTAACCCTCCCCTTTTTGAAAGATCATAGGGTTGTTTTTTTTATTTTTTTTGAGACAGAGTCTCACTCTTGTTGCCCGGGCTAGTGTTGTGGTGTCAGCCTAGCTCACAGCAACCTCAAACTCCTGGGCTCAAGTGATCCTTCTGCCCCAGCCTTCTGAGTAGCTGGGATTACAGGCATGTGCCACCATGCCTGGCTAATTTTTTCTATATATTTTTAGTTGGCCAATTCTTTCTATGTTTAGTAGAGATGGGGTCTTGCTCTTGCTCAGGCTGGCCTGGAACTCCTGAGCTCAAACTATCTGCCCGCCTCCACTTCCCAGAGTGCTAGGCTTACAGGTGTGAGCCATGGTGCCCGGCAATCATAGGATTTTTTTGCTGATCCCTTGTAATATGAAATTTCACAGTGATAAACCTTGTTGTGATTGTTCTCATCATTGTGTTTATTTTTTTTATTCAAGAAATTCATGTTCTTTGGTTCCAGGGAAATGTTTAGCATGATTTTTCTGATATTTTTTACTTCCATTTTTCTGTTCCTTTTGAAACTCCTTTTAGCTGAATATTGCATCTGCTGAATTGATTCTCGATTCTTAAGTTTTATTTTCTGTCATCTTGACATTGGGTGTTTTTGTTTTTGAGACAAGTCTCTCTCTGTTGCCCCAGCTTGAGTGCAGTGGTGTTACCATAGCTCACTGCAACCTCAAAACTCTTGGGCTCAAGTGATCCTCCTGCCTCTGCCTCCTGAGTAGCTGGAACTACAGGTGTGTGCCACCACCCCCTACTAATTTTTCTATTTTGTATACAGATGGGGTCTTGCTCTTGCTCAGGCTGGTCTTGAACTGCTGACCTTAAATGATCAATCCCCCGCTTTGGCATCCCAGAGTGCTAGGATTGCAGGTGGGCATGAGCCACCTGTGCCCAACTCCATCTTTTTGTTTTACTTTATGAGAGATTGCCTTGATTTATCTTCTGACTTGACTCTTGAAGTTTTTATTGTAGCTATCAGATTGTAATTCCCAAGAGCTCTTATTTTCTTTTGTACTCTACTACATTCCATTTTTCTAGTGGATTTCTTTTTTCTGTTAATTTAAGGATCAATTTTATGGAAGGCATTATGATTGGGTTCTTTTTTTTTTTTTGAGACAGAGTCTCGCTTTGTTGCCCAGGCTAGAGTGAGTGCCTGGCGTCAGCCTCGCTCACAGCAACCTCAAACTCCTGGGCT